CATAACTTTTGTTTTAGACAATACGCTGCATTTTAGACAAAGGAGGAACTTAAATAATATTACAGATATGAAAATAAATGACTTTGTGTAATTTACCTTCACTGGCATGGGACTATTTGTTCCTCACAGTGCTTGTTTCAGTGATTGACTTTAGTGAAATGTGAATTTGACGTCATGATTTGAAGGTGAACTCGTTTGAGTTATAAGAACATATCCAAACCCTGAAATAACACTTCGAACAATAAGTGTTTATACAATAACAATTCACTACACTTTCTATGTAGTGAATGTAAGCGTAGCTTTTTCACGTTCTCACGCCACGTAAAACGTAAACACGTCAGACGTTTTTGTAGAAAACATAATAAATGTCTTTGCAGAAACAAGCTTGTGTTGTTGCGAACTGTAAGTCAAGCGGGGAAAGACAATATAACTAATAACTGCTAGTATACTCACCTCTTTGAGTGTTGAAACCGGCGGAGATGGCGGCACGGTATAAAGTCGCACATTCCAGCTTCCTGCGTTTCTGATGCTGCCTCATAAAACGAAATCCATAATAATAATAATAATAATCTAGCGCGACGGCAAAATGTTGTCATGTCGTAAGACAATATCTGTATTGCAAACTGTATTGCTGTTTTTGTTGTTTTTAGGCATAACAACGCAACGGCATTACCATAGTAACCAAGGCACATTCAGTAAAACGAAAGAGCGCTTATGGACACACATGTAAGGATGGTTTCCCTACGGTGGTTCAGGCTGTAGGATTGCCGAATGACTAAAGAAACGTTATCAGCACGATGGTATAAAACTGTACATTTCTAGTCTATTACCACCCACTGCCACTTATACCAACGACGGAAATAAGCGCAGTTAGAATAGCTACATATGTGGGAGAGCGTTGCTATTGTGTGACTATTGTATTGCAATAGGTAACACTTTAAGATGAACCTTGAATCAAGACTAGTTAGCACATAATTAATAATTGAAATGGTTTAATAACAATATTTTGTTATGGTTACACTTGAATTGGTTACAAAATAGATGAAGGATGGTAAAGCATAGTTAATTGTACCCAACATGTAAAATATTACCTGAGAGAAAGAGATAGAGAGAGGAAGAAAAAGAGGGAGAGAGGGCAGAGACCCAAGAAGAGAGCCAGCCAAGGAAAGAGACAGAGCAACAGTTACAGTCCTCTTTTATCCCTTCCTTGACCATGTGACTAAAAACCAAATGTGAGACATTCAAACTGACCAATCAGCAGATTATAACTTCACCCACTGGGCAAAAGGTGTGACAATTAGCAGACCCCCGGTGTATACACATGTTGGCCTACAGGCCTTGATCACTATCAGCACCTCTGTGCCTTCAGGAATTCCAAATGGCCCTTTTGTTACTGAAGATAGGTTTGGGACAGGAAAGCAGAAATCTTTGATAATTTTTGACCTTACACACACATCGGATATGAACAGTTGATACACTGTGTGGACAGTCAGTTATGCAAATCAGGTTCCATCCGGATATGCACACAATCGGATTTGGGCTGACAGTCTGAACGAGGCTTATGCTCGCCATGGCATTTAGTTGATAAAAAAATACTGTACAAAAAAAAATAATATTGTGATATATTATTAAACTTTAAGATATTGTTTTCTATTTTAATCTATTTTAAAATGTAATTTATTCCTGTGATGCAAAGCAGAAACATTTCTTATTATTATCAATGTTTAAAACGTTGTGCTGCTTAATATTTTTGTGGATATTATAAATGTCTTTAATAGTTTTATTCAACATGGATGCATTGTATTGCTCAAAAGTGAAGTATTTTCTTAACAACAACTGAAGAATTTTAATGACCCCAAACTTCAGACAGTGTAACTATTTAAAGAGTGATCACTGAGTCATTTGTCCAATATTTCTTCTCTAAGCTGAATGATCAACATTATTTCCAAATACAGTTTACACTTAAATGGATGTCATTGGCTATAAAAGTTCAGTTTGGACCATCATTTAATTTGACCATAATTGCAAGCTCAGTAAAATTGACAATATGAGGACAGTTTAAGTTGTGATGACCTGCAAAAATGGTTGGCATTTCAAAGGTCTAAATTAAATTTTAAGGAGAAAAAAAGTATAATTACCTCAAAAAACAATTATTATAGCTATCAGTTTTAGTATTCAAGTAAGAAACAAATTCCACAAATTAATCACGCGTATAGTTCTAAAGTACAGTTATTCAAGTATTTTACAACCCTGTGCAGTGTTTAATATGACCTGATGAAATGTATGTTGTTGTTTTTTACTATAGTAATTAGGCACACAGATAAGGATGTTACATTTACACAGCTTCCCATTCATGACCATTTCAGGGCCTTCAGGCAACACCAAACAGTAAACTCTTTATCAGGACTGTCCTCACTCTTGTACTACAAAACTTTGTTGCCCTAAACTTTAGGTGACCTGGTCTGGTTACAAATGTGTTGACCACTGTGACTCAAAGTTATCTATCTGAACTACAAGTGACCTATTATGGTCGCACTGATAATTTCTGATATTAACCAAGTCATTTTAATGTATCATTGGATAAACTTCCCAAGATTTACTTGATGCTTGGTTTCAACAGTCAGATCACACTAATGCAAATGACCTTTTGCAATATTACAACATGTCCCAGAAATGTCTTGCCAACTTATTTATGCTTTTTATCTCAGTGTACATCTCAGCTCCTCTGATTTGACAGGGAACAGATAACGCAGAACATGAATGTCTGAATGTTAGCCCACAGTTTGGATAAGATGATCTGAGACCTCTGCTCCACCGATAAATTAATATGGTCTCTGAGGGAGATATTAAAACGGTGGAAAATCTCAATGAGATTACAATGTTAAGTATTTAACAATGCTACGCTTGCGGATTATTTTCAGAGCTTGAGTATTGCCAAGCTGTTCCCTTTTGCAACTTACTCAAACACACTCCTTAGGATGTTTGTGAATAAAATATAAGTTTATGAGATTTGTAAATTATTCCATTCCTTTTTTACTCACAATTTGTACAGTGTCCCAACTTTTTTGGAACTGGGTTTGTATTTTTGTTGAAATGGGATAGTTGCCATTGATGGGGTCATTATATATGATCTGATTTGGGAATTGTGTGAAATTTTAACAAATGCGCTGAACTGACATAGACCTTCATTTCTTGGAACGAAAGCTGAGAGGTGCCAAGAATGAGAGCTCTACATCTGCTAAAACTTATTTATTCATACAATAACATGGTTTTAAGTTCTGTTACTGCTCTATTCTGTTGTGTTTCAGGTTCAGATCTGAGAAAAACTAACAGCTAAACAAGCGCACAATATTAGATATCATATAATATCATATATGATTAACATATAAGTCTTTATTTTCCATGATGAGCTCCAAGAACTATGACGCACACCACATAGGAATAGATTCTGTTTATCGATGTAATTTATCAAATTACTTTTTACTTTGTTTTAAGCACTTGGGCAAAATTTCAGAGGCCACCTAAATCAATTTTGTTGCACACACATAGAACTGACAGTGAGTTTAATTTAGTTGTAAACAAACTTGATTAGATGTTAATGAAAATGTGGTTGGGCTTTCCCCACATGAGGTTACTGAGGTAAACGTAAACCACAAGTTGAGTTTTATGATCTTTTACAGGAAAATTGCTGCAACAGACCACGAACCCACAGATGCTCGTAAATCTTTTCCCTGTTTTGATGAGCCCAACAAAAAGGCCACCTACACAATCTCCATCACCCATGACAGTGCATATGAAGCGCTGTCCAACATGCCTGTGGAGGTACGTTACATTGCTGCTTGAGCCTTCAAAACAGTTATTGAAGGTTTCAAAGTGTAGCTTAAACTTTTAAACCAAGACGTGAACCATCAGTCTGCTTGTATGTTATGTGTGAGTGTGTGTGTGTGGTTTTCCTTATGGCTCTGGTAAACGAGGTCTGGCTGCATTCCTATGCTTGCTTTCTATTCAGTTGATAGATGTTAACTGTAACTCCTAACACTCTCATTCACAGAACATAGAAAAAGTGTCAGACCAAAAGACAAAAACATCCTTTAAAAAATCAGTAAAGATGAGTACCTATCTGGTATGTTTTGCGGTTCACCAGTTCCACTATGTGGAGCGGATCTCGAAAAGAAATATACCAGTAAGCTCTTTTTTCCATGTTTGCTCTACTGCATCCAGAATTTGCTGAAATAGTTCCTGTCAGTCAGTACACTGAAACCTCTGTGGGATTTCATTATTTATCTCTTTCTCTCTCTCCTGACAGTTGCGGATCTTTGCTCAGCCTTTGCAGATCTCAACTGCTGAATATGCTGCAAATGTCACCAAGATTATATTTGATTACTTTGAGGAATATTTTGACATGGAATATTCTATAGAGAAACTTGGTAAATCAGCAGACACATTGTTTTTCAGTTTTGAACCATTTATCATATTAGAGGTATCATCATCATCATTATTAATTATTACTTATTATAATTATCATTTTATGAGGCAATTTTTAACCCTCCTGATATCATAATGAAGAAAAAAAACGGAAATTCTTGGGGGGGAAAATATATATATATATATAAATGTAAAAAAATGCTCAAATTTAAAAAAAATACCTTTAAAATATATGTAAAAATCCTTTTGATTTTTTAATATGTATATCTTCTTATATGCAAGTTGTAAAGAAAATAATGTTTTCAACTAGATTTTAAAAAGTCTGTATTGTGGACACTCTTATTTGTCATTGACCCTCATACAATTCGAAACAGATGTACACGTTATGATCTTATAAAAAACACTGATTCATGATTTCTATCATATCTTATCAACTGATTTCTATCATGTATATCAATGATTATTGTGACAAAAGAACATAGGATATATTCTGTCTCTGTTGCAGATAAGATAGCGATCCCAGACTTTGGGACAGGAGCAATGGAGAACTGGGGCTTGATCACTTACAGAGAAACCAACCTGCTGTTCGATGAGAAGGAGTCCTCCTCAATCAACAAACAGCGAGTGGCCAGTGTCATTGCACATGAGCTCGTTCACCAGGTTACTAACCCTATCACATATCTGATTGGTGAAAGAGGACAAGTTATTACGCAGAGCGAGGACAATCCAGTATACAGTACATCATCAGTCACACATCAGAACCAAATTGGCATAACACCCTGTGCTGAGCATGCATCTCATTTTACTGTTTCCTGTAACTGCATTTTAAATCAAATAGGGAGAATTGATCAGATCCATTTACAGTAACAAGGCCAACAGAGAAAAATATGATTACCATAAAGATTATTATCACACAGTTACATATTACACTCTCTCAAAAGCATCCAATGCAGTGATGTTTTTTGGGATAATGACTGCAGTCACACTGCACACTGATAAGATGATCTTTTTATGGCTAGGTCCAAGGTTGTTGGACAAAAAAACAATTACACAGGGCTAAAAAATGTTGTATGATTATATAACTGAACTGTAGAAAATCATGATATAATTAGATAATTTGTAGCTTCTTTCCTTGTAAAGACATTCACTCAAAGCAAAGTATTTTGTTCAGCTTCCATCATGTTGACTGCTCATGCTTTGGTTACATAATCATGTTTTGAATTCTTTCCGTACCCACTGTATATATATATATTTATATATATATATATATATATATATATATATGTATGTGTGTGTGGGGGTGTGGGTGTGAGGGTCGGTGGGTGGGTGTGTATACAGTATATATATATATAATTCTTGAAATATGACTTTGATTTTGCAGCAAATGTCTGACAAAATGTCTTTGTAAAAAAAAAAAAAAATTTACAAATTTATTTATCCCAGATTTAACACATTTTATAAAAGGCCCTGTTACAGAAACAATATAGGGCTGAATAAGCATGAGGTATTTGGGTTCTACCGTTAAAGGAACTGTTTTGTCTTTAATTGGCAGTGGTTTGGAAATATTGTGACTATGGACTGGTGGGACGACCTGTGGCTGAACGAGGGCTTTGCCAGCTTTTTTGAGTATGTGGGAGTGGAACAAGCTGAGTTTGACTGGGGAATGGTGAGCACATGCCTGAATCATTCAAATATATTCTTAAATGAAACCATTCAATTGAGGCTGGATGTCATGTTTATGTCAATTCATCTTTTGTGTTTTCAGCGGGACATCATGCTTATCAATGATGTATTTCCTGTCATGGTTGATGATGCTCTTTTCTCTTCCCATCCTATTATCGTGGATGTGTCCAGCCCTGCTGAGATCACATCTGTGTTTGATGCAATCTCATATAACAAGGTAAGGTTAAGTCACTGCTGCTTAACCTAGTGTTGTTAATCCATCAACTCTATTGGCTATGAATTGGTAACTGTGATGTCATTCTATTGTAGGGCGCTTCTATTTTACGAATGCTGGAGGACTTGCTTGGCCGTGACACATTTAGAGATGGATGTCGAGTAAGGCGACTTGCATTTTACATATATTTTCCAAAGACTCCGCAGTTATATATTAAGCATGATATATTAAACATGTGATGCTGTCAAAATAAGACCCATTTCTTTTTTCACCACAGCAATATCTAAAAAGCAACCCATTCCAGAATGCAAAGACTGCAGACTTCTGGAAAGCCTTGGCTGATGTAAATATCTTTTATTGATCATACATTGTCATTTGTATGTTTGTCCAGTTTTTTGCTAAATAATGTATTGATCCTTCAGAAATCATTCTAATATGCTGATTTGGTGCTCAGTTATTGTCAAATATTATTGATGCTCAATTATTAATAATGGTTCTTATATTATCAATGTTGAAAACAGTTTTTGCTCTGTAATATTTTGTGGAAACCATGAGACATTTTCAGCATTCTTTGATGAATATAAAGTTCAAAAGAACAGCATTTATTTGAAATATAATTTTTTTGCAACATTATAAATGCTCTTCCTGTCACTTCTGATCAACCTACTACTTCCTTGCTGAATAAAAGTATTCATTTTATATACATTTCTGTAAATAATCATATTTACCCCAAACTTTTAAACAGTAATGTATCACAGTTTTCAAAACTATTTAACAATATTCCTCTTTTTCCTGTAATGTAATCAAATAAATGTAGCATTTGTTAGCACAAGAGACTTTTAAAGGGGGTGGTTGATTGCGATTTCACTTTTTTAACGTTAGTTAGTGTGTAATGTTGCTGTTTGAGCATAAACAATATCTGCAAAGTTGCGGCGCTGAAAGTTCAATGCAAACGGATATTGTCTTTTCAAATTCTGGCAGTTTAATGCCTACAAAAACGGCTCGAAAGGACTACAACGAGTTACTTCCCGGGTTTGTGACATCACAATCCCAGACAAACCCCGCCCCTGGGAACATGCAACGAAGGTGGTGAGGCCATGCTGCGCTGCTTTATGTTGGCTGCATACTAGACGATTTTAAGGCCGATTTGCATCCCCGATCGATCAGGGGGTGGCCCGATTCGCGGCTTGTCGCAAATGATTTTTTGTCCAAAAAACCCTCTATTGTGTGGTGTCATTACGATTATTTATCTGCTCCCGATCGAGACGGAGCAACCCGAACTCAAATGATCGGGCTGCCTCTGACGTGATACCCGCAATAGCCAATGAGAGCGAGCAAGCTTCACCTACCGGATGTTGCGTGCTTCTATAGCTGAAACTTGGCAGCCACAAACATGCCATGAAAGCAGAGAACATCACCCATATTCTTTTTTATACTTTGTTTTTCACTGTGAAACAGAATGCATGCCAGGAGAGCCAGCTGACAACGTTGATTGTCCTCTATTTGTTTTTCTTCTCTAGTCACGTTTGATCTCGCGAGTGTCCGTGAGATCACTTGTCACTGTGAAATCGTTCCTACAATCATCAAGTGTGTGGTCTCGCGGTCTGGTCGAATCGTCTAGTGTGTGCGTTCAGAGGTTTATAAGTTGGTCTAACTGTCTTCATGTCTGTGGTCTCCCATGGTTTTAAAATCATTTAAGATTTGAAAATCGTCTAGTGTGGCCTTAGAGAAGAGGAAGAGAAAACTAGGGGTCCACGTAAAAATCTATTAATATATGAATCGTGATTCTGTCTTCTAACGATTCTAATGGATTCACAAGTTTCAAAATCAATGTTCTAAAGCAGCGGTTCTCAATACTGTTCCTGTAGAATAAAGGTAAATTATGTGAAAAATAATGCTTAAAAAAAAACAACGAAGCATTAACACATGTTAGACTGCACCCCATAAACACAATCAAGCCTAGAAAAAAACAGTCAACCACCCCTTTAAAAAAAATCTTAATTATTCTAAAATTTGACTGGTAATATATATCTCTCTTGGGTCATAGGAGAGTGGGTTACCTGTGGCAGAAATTATGGACACATGGACCAAGCAGATGGGTTATCCTGTGCTGACACTGACCAACACAGCCACTGAAGCTAAACTCACCCAGACCAGGTTTCTCCTGGATCCTAATGCTGATCCCAGCCAGCCCACCACTCCCCTGGGGTGAGCCTGATTGTGCACGCCCCTCTACACCAAAATTAAAACATCAATGGAATCAAACACTCCAATTCAGTCAAATTACCATGAACCAAATAGGCCCAACATTTTGCAAAAATTATTAACATGACATGCACAGATGCATATATGGGGCCAAATACTGTATAGTCATACTCCCAAGTGACAGAATTTGCACCAAAATACTGTTTAATCAAATGCACAACCTTAATTTGATGTCAAGAACAAAACATATGGAAAGTGCTTTTGTACTCCTTTTTAAAAGTAGATAAGCCCATTTATTTTGCTTTCTGAATTCTTCACATTTATTTGGTTGATTTTTCCTTACTGTCTGCAATCAGAACAGATCTTTGACCCATCTATCGGTCACTGCCCATCACTGCTCTAAAGTATCCTCTATCTGCCCCCACTAAGCTCTACAACATGATCACAAATAATAATTCCCCTGATTATTCTTCACAGGAAGGAACACAGTGAACTGAATGATACAGTCAACTTTAATGAACTGAACTCTCAACTATTAGTTGACTCAGATGTTTTAACTCTCGTCCCACAGCTACAAATGGACCATTCATGTGAAATGGCGCACAGTCGACTCCAAAAACGCCTCTTTCCTATTTGACAAGGGAACAACAGGTGAACAAGATCATATGCTCAGACTTTTTCTTTTTTTTTTTTTGGCATTGAGGAATAAATTGTTTTTTTAACTAAGGTACTCTGCTGTGTAATTTCTGTCAATTTGCCTGTATTTAATCAGAGGCAGTCATTGCTGGATACTCCCCTGCTACCGATGGTCTCATCAAAGTCAACAAAGACCACATGGGCTTTTACAGAGTAAATCACTATGACCATGTGTGGAGCGCTATTGCGGAGCAACTTTCTGTGAATCATCAGGTATTATTATTCATATTAATGTCTCTGTCATAACTACCTAACAGAACAGTATAGAAAAGTAAGATCTTCATTACAATGATAATGACCGGCTGAATATACATTATAGATCTTATTGCATTCCTACTGATGAAAAAATTTAATATATGGACATGAAATATTCATTTGAGATTACATATAAATTATTTTATAATCTTACCTGAATGCAAATATCCTCTGTCCTGTTTATTTCTTCCGTTGAAATCGCTGTTGGAATTGTTGAATCGCCTTACTGCTATTAATAAAAATAGTCCACTACACGTACAAAACAATCGGCCTTGCAACAAGACGAACACATTTTTTTACTACAATCAATAATTGATTAACAACGCTAGATGTTCTAGTGGCTTTGGCAATATCGAGATGGACCAATCAGGATCAAGTACTGCAGAGAGCCGTGTAATAAAGTATAATATCCTACATAATCTTTTTAGGTGTATGATGCAACTGACCGAAGCAGCTACATTGATGATGTATTTGCATTTGGACGGTGAGTTAGTACAAACATCTTCCAGCTGCAGAAAGCTTATACTTTCAATCTTGACTTGATGACAGGCAAAAAAGTAGATTTGAACTGATTTTTCATAGCACAGCTTTTTATGGTTATAGTGGAGGTCATAAAGAAAGAATGTTGACGTCATTGCCTTTTGTTTTGCATTAATAGGGCAGATATTGTCGATTATGGACATGCCTTCAACTTAACAAGATATCTGGCCAATGAAACAGAGTATATTGTGTGGGACAGAGTATCTACTTCTATCTCCTATGTAAGAGATATGTTGGCTGATGATCCAGTGCTCTACCCCAAATTCCAGGTTGGATCCCAAAGTATTCAATACCTTCTCAATGCATGAAAACCATCCATTTTATGAAAAATCATGTACATTTTTAAAATGTGAACAGTGATCTTATTCCCAGTGTGAAATTTATAGCTGATATTCTTTATGTAAATGTAAGCAAGACGTTCCTATTTTATATTTTCTGTTTTTCATATGGTCTGTTTCAAATCATGCCTCTGTTTAGAAACTCTTCCGTGAGCATGTGCAGAAGATATCCAGAGAGCTTGGGTGGAATGATGAGGGGACGCAAACACAGCAGTGAGATTTATTTTTTTTTTAAGTAAAAAAGCTCCCCTATACAGCAGGCCAAGGACACATTCTTGGATTTATCTTTCTTTTAAACCAGATACCTCAGTTTATAATGCTGCATATATTTACACATGTTCTAAATAGTTTGCATGTTTGTGCCCATATGCAAATATAGCTACAGTTGTGTCCAAAATCTGAGACCACTAGTAAAAAAAATTCTATTTTGTATTATCTATTAATTTAATAATAAAAAAAATCATAACAATTTAATAGAAAAGTTGAATGAAAAACTTGAATATTGTAGCATTTTTATGATTAATTTTCTGTTTTGTTTTTTCCTGTACAGGCTGCTGAGAGAGACAGTTTTGGGCATTGCATGTCAGATGGGTGACCAGGAAGCTCTCAACCAAACCACTGACATTTTCAATAAATGGATCGATGGAACAATTAGGTAATCACATTCATACATAAATACCTTCAGTGGTACAATTAGAGTGTGTGTATTAAAGAGGCTCTTTTTCTCATTGGGGAGCAGCAGTGTGGCTGTCAATTTACGATTGCTAGTGTACCGATATGGAATGAATAACTCAGGATCAGTCCAGAGCTGGGAAATCATGTTCCAGAAGTATATCTCTGCCACTCTTGCCCAGGAGAAAGACAAACTGCTCTACGGCCTGGCTTCAGTAGAAAATATCACTCTCCTTAATAGGTAAACTCTCTCTTACCAGGGCAGTGTTGTCAAGTTCACCCTATCTACGTATTTTCTAAATGCATGTTAAAGATCTTAATGTGAGTGATTCATCCATGTATATCCTTCATTTTGAAAAAAATGATTTTGACCTTGTAATGTTTAATCAAAATGTCATAACACTTGCAGTGAAAACAACAGACTTCTCTTTGGTGACATTTGCAGACTTCTCCAATCATGTAGTCCAATTAAACTTCATCCATCCACAATCAATGGCAAGCTCAGATTCTCAAAATCCAATCAACAACATGGATAGAACCAAGTTTCCACAACTTTTTTTTTTCTTCCTTTCTTGATAATCCGTTTTTCTTGGATATACATCACAATACAGAAGAAAAGATCGGTCTATAGATACTGATGCTGCTTCAGATGCTCTCACTAACAGGAACCCTTGACTAACTCACAGCCTTATTGCAAATGTAAAAAATAAAAAAATCCTTCTCCTCTTGCATTTCTGCTCCTCGTTTGAAATTTAACATGCTTACACTATTTGTAGTTGATTTGGATGAAATGGTCTGCTAGATGAATAATCATTAGCACTTTTGTATAAAAGTAAACTAGCACTTGATTATTCATTGTTCAAATGTCTTTCTTTTGTAACAGGTTGCTTGAAGCTGCTAAAAATGAAAGCATTGTGAGGAGTCAAGATGTTTTTACTTTAGTGCAATATGTATCACGAAACCCATATGGCAAAACCATGGCCTGGGACTGGATGACACTCAACTGGGATTACCTAGTGAACAGGTCAGTTAATCTAACAGTTAAAAGGAATAAGTTGAAAGAAAGTCAGCCTTCCCTTTGAGAATAGCAATGTTATCTATGATCTCATGTCTGTTTTAGATATACTATTAATGACAGAAACTTGGGCCGCCTGCCCTCCAGAATTACTAGTACATACAACACTGATCTGCAGCTGTGGAAGGTGAGACATAAAGGCTGTGTTTGGAATGGAATGCTAGCTTACAACTTACTGAAGTTTGTAATTTACTTTGGTTTAAAATATAAACTTTTGGCTGCCCAATCAAGCAAAGAGTATAAATACCTCAAATGTTGGTCTCTTTTTTCAAGATGTTTTTACTTTAGTGCAATATGTATCACGAAACCCATATGGCAAAACCATGGCCTGGGACTGGATGACACTCAACTGGGATTACCTAGTGAACAGGTCAGTTAATCTAACAGTTAAAAGGAATAAGTTGAAAGAAAGTCAGCCTTCCCTTTGAGAATAGCAATGTTATCTATGATCTCATGTCTGTTTTAGATATACTATTAATGACAGAAACTTGGGCCGCCTGCCCTCCAGAATTACTAGTACATACAACACTGATCTGCAGCTGTGGAAGGTGAGACATAAAGGCTGTGTTCGGAATGGAATGCTAGCTTACAACTTACTGAAGTTTGTAATTTACTTTGGTTTAAAATATCTTAACTTTTGGCTGCCCAATCAAGCAAAGAGTATAAATACCTCAAATGTTGGTCTCTTTTAAGATGGAGCACTTTTTTGCACTGAACCCGAATGCAGGAGCAGGTGAGATGCCCAGGAAGCAGGCACTAGAGACTGTGAAGAACAATATCGAATGGAGGAAACGGAACCTGGATGAGATCCGGGACTGGCTGAAGAACAATGTACACTAATGCTGTAAGGGACCAGCATCAGAACAAATTTTCCACCCCCCACAAGTCAATTAATTGCTCAGGGCAGCTTGAAAATGAATTTTTAGCTAAGAGCCACAATTTAAAACAAACACTCTCATTACAAAATAGTCTTGGATGCTGTTGGCATGACATTTAAATGAACAAATATTCTCTTTGGAACTAGGCATTACAAATATTTAGGCACTGTACATTCTTTATTTAATGTGTACATTATATTAGTTATTTGTAAAATGTGTAAATGTGAAATAAAGTTCTTCACACGTATTATGACACATTTTTCAGGTACTTCAATAAAGGGATGTTCTCAAAATATTGGGTTTTTTTTCCATAAAAGACTAAGGGCTGGAATACACTACATGACTACATTTGCACATATTTTTGCCCCAATTTGGATGAGTTTTGAAGGTCACAGTCAGTCTGCATATTTTGGGCAGTCAGAGTTGACATATTTCACAGAAAATCATGTAGTGAATGATGATTATTATTTATTTATTTATTTTTCAGACTTTGATTCCGTTCACTCGGAAGATGTCAAACATGTTTGACTATATTTTCAGTTATGTGTATCCTTGCAACGAGGCGGATCTTTCTGCATGAGTTTGTTGTTTGTTGCCCAGTGTATGATTCCCAGTTTTTTTCTATAACCATTTACAAAGTCGGCAAGTGTAGTGCCTAGTTTTTAAAAAATCTATTCTAATTTTAAAAGTTGTGTAGTTTATTCCAGCCTTAAGACATAAATTGTAGAAATCTTTTAAGATGAATCATGGTGGAATTGTTTTTATTCAAATCAAAACATTTTACATACAGTATCAGGAACAGCAATTTCACAGGATTTGCAGTAGGCAGATAACAGTATAACAAGCATCAGACTACATAATATCAGACTACACACTGAATAGCAAGGTCAAAGGAAGTCAATGTCAGTTGCAGGAAGGACATTCATGGGATAAGGACACTTTGCATTTGTATGAAACTTCAATGTAATTGTGCCCTAGTGGTGTTAAAACAGTGGAGCATTCAGAAAGCGTCCAGCGCTGATGTTTTATGAATGTTTAAATATCTGATTGTCTCATCATTTAGGGGTTGAGTGGCGTAGATGACGCCGTCATTGGAAGTTGGTTGTTAATAGTGATTCTCTGTCGTGTTTGACATCGTAACATACCCATGATGGCTCTCCTGAACCTGCAGTCAACAAATACAACTTATTAGTAAAAAAAAGACAAAGAAAGTAAGTGACATATTACAACAAAGATGTTACACAGAGGCCTTACTTCTTGTTGGCAATGACATAGATGCAAGGATTGTAAAAGGTGGAGGACTTGGCAAAGAGCGGGGCAATTATGGCCATTGGGGCTGGAATCTTTTTGGGGTCACCAAATGATGCCCACAAGCACACAATCGAATATGGAGACCAGGCAGCCAGGAACATCACTATCATTATAATAGACATCTGTAAAAATAAACGAGCATTCAGGTCAAACCGAACTAAAGAGCAAACAAAACCTGTCAAGCAGTGTTATTTTAGTAATATTGATATACTATTATTTTATTTATTAAAATGTGTAATTAAGTTTTTAATTATATTTTCAGTTTACTAATTTTGCTATGTGCTTTTGACATTTTTTATTTTTATTGTCACTTTAATTTGTATTTATTTTAGATCTAATTTTAGTTCTTCAACTTTATTTACAAGGCAGCATTTCTAATTTAATTTGTATTATTGTTATATTTTGAATTCCTCCCCCCCCCCCTTTTCTTAATTTTCAAGTTTAAGTTTATATTTTTCATGTATTATTTATATTTTATTTTATTTCAGCTTTATTTCAATTAACTCCATGGGTCATATTTCTCCAAAAAAAAGAAGAAGAAGAAGAAGAAAGAAAGAAAGAAAGAAAGAAGGAAAGAAAAAGAAAGAAAATGTAATAAAATAAAAAAGAGAAAAAGGAATACATTAAAAATATAAATAAAATTTAATAAATACTGCTGGTACTATACCTTGGTAACGTCCATCTGATCTGACCAATCCATGTTGATGCTGTCTAGGCAGTTACTGGCTTTGTACCTCTTCACAGTAACTGAGACGTTGTAGTAACAGTAGAACATGACCGCCAGAGGAATGATGAAGTTGACAGTGATCACAGTCATTGTGTAGGACACAAACGATCTGAAATCAAACAAGATTAGTCCTAATAATCCTGTAACTAATAAGACTGACCTGTAATAATATCAATCTTGACTCACGTGTCATTGTTCCTCCAGTTGATGGTGCAGGTGGCTCCTGTGGGGTCAGGAGCATATCCTGCCCAACCAACGATGGGCATCGATGACCAAAACACAGCATTCAGCCAAGCAGCCACAATTAGAAGTGTGTATGATACTGTTGTCAGCTTCTGTCCTGTAACAAACACACATCAATAGATTTCCTAATGCACTTGGCCCCTGCCTTGAGTAAGTAATAAAACACAATGACGTTAACCTTCCGCTAAGACAATGACAGTCCTTAGCGGTTCATATTTCATTCAGGTAGTTATATTGATAAAATCATACCTATGTCAGGTCGACTTATGGTAAGGTATCGGTCAATGGCAACCACAGTGAGCAGTCCAATACTGGCCATACCGAAGAATATATTCAGGGCAGCATAGATCTATAAAAGAGGCAACAGGTTCTGCTGTTGTTTACATGTAAGAAAGTAGCCAAAATTTCAAAATTGTTATAAAATAAGCAAAAATTACAAAATTGTAATAAAGTAATTTGAATGAAATTGCATCCCAAATATTTTTAATATCTATCACTGTTGGCAGTATCTTTTACTGTTATTTCTTTGGGGGGGGGGAAGTAGTGAAACAGTTTGTTAAATATTGATAGCAATATTATAAATATAAGGCAAGGTTAGTTCAGGTTGAAAAATGTAATTGGTGTCTCCCCCAAAACTTGATCATTTATAATATTTGTTTAAAATAATACTCTTTGCTTCCTCAAAAATATAACTACACCAGATAACATTTTAGAGCAAATATTACATTTACACTTTTATTGGAATGAATGAAAAAAAAAAAACGAGTAGTGCTTTAAACTAGATCTTTTAAATAACATTTCTTTGGACACTCTTACTCATCATTGACCCCCTAAAAATGCTCTTTAGCTATGATTATATTCACAGAATTGCTTGATTATACAATCAAAATGACTTGAGTTTGCTAATGTGTTGGTTTGTGCACACCTGGCAGCCTGTGTAACCAAATTTCCAGCTCCCGTGCAGGTCTGAGGCTGCTGACATGGGGTAACCAATACCGGCTATGCCAATGTCAGTGACAGCCAGATTGATAATGATAGCATTCGTGGCAGTACGCAACTCTCTGAACTTCACAAACATCAGCAGCACCACAATGTTACTAGACAGACTGACCACTCCTGCCACCAGAGAGAAAGACACACAGACAGGGACAGCAGGAGGTTAAGACATCTGTGAACACACAGACGTCCATTCAAAACATTTCCCATTTTCAGTTTTCCATTTTACACACACACCCTGCTGGTTACCTCACACACTTGGCTGAATCTGTAAATGTCAGTTTCAAGGAATGTTTAAAAACATGTGCTGTATCTAATCCTAGGCCTCAAAGGTAAGACAAAGATAAGCCTTACTGAACTTTTACAATTTACAGGTTTTTACAAAAACCTTTAATCAGAAGATGCCAACTCAAAAACCTGATAATTACTAAATTAGTTATTTAAAAGTGACAGTACATTTATAGCTGACTAGTAACATCAAATACACCAAGTACACACACACACACACACACACACACACACACACACAC